CCTATGTGCATTCCTCTTTACCTGTCTATATTGGACTACCCTGTGTGCATTCCTCTTTATCTGTCTATATTGGACAGTCCTATGCGCATTCCTCTATACATGTTCTATATTGGACTGTCTTATGTGCATTCCTCTTTACCTGTCTATATTGGACTGTTCTGTGTACATTCCTCTTTATCTGTCTATATTGGACAGTCCTGTTTGCATTCCTCTTTATCTTTTTTAAAATGGACTGCCCTAGTTAATACACCATCATGGTCTTTCTAATAATAATAACTAGTCTTTTTACATCAATGAAATATGTGGAGATAACGAACAGTATTCGAGCTCAAAAGTCCATTAAACATTACAGAATAGGAGCAGAGCAAACACGGATTTCTAAGAGATCAACTCTAATGCATAACTTTATTTCGGCATGAAACATACCCTAATCTATATTAAGTTGAAGTATTATACAGTCATTTTTATTTGATTTGATTCCTCTTTGGAATAATTTGCAAAGGAAATTAATTTTTCGACGAGAAATTCAATCTTGCTTCTCTATGAATAACAAGTGTTACATTAAAGTTTAAGAAATTCACAGAATTTAAAACTATGTTATAGTTAGTTTAAAATTATCTGAATTCTAACACTTTAATGTAACAAATATCTAAACTCTATAATTTTTAAAATCTTTACAACAGGCCATACATTGAAGCCATGTTACGTCTCGAAACAATCCTAATAAGAAACTGGGGGGATAAGCCGAGCCATATGCCTACATAACGATCGATAAAAAATCAATAAATTCATTTTACAAAAATTTCACTTTTTGTTGAATTAATGTAATGCTTATTACCATTTGCATACAAATTTGACAAAACATGAATACTGTAACAGCGAAAATGATTCTGATTAACACAACAAAATGGCATCACGCTCAATTTTCACAGAAACTGACATAAATTGGATGATATAACTACATTTTTTAAATAGAGTGGGTCATCGTACCATTTTTTTGAGAACGATTAATGAAAGGCAATGGAATGATGTTGCTTTTTACACTTGCAAAAATTTGGTATGAAGACCCACTCTACATAAAAAATTAAGTTAACTTACTTAAATTTTCACCGTGGTCTTAAAAAATTCTAAGTTCAAAAACGCTTGCTAAATATAGAGAACTGTATGCTATTTAAAGAGACATGTTAGTGTGACTCCGTGGTCTAGTGGTTAGCGAGGAGCTCTTTAAATGGACGTTTATTTAGGAAAGTGTTCGAGTCATGCTCTGATCTTTTTGATTTTTTTTTTCACTTTATTAAAAAAGTGTCTATAGGAATAACATATTTTTCACTGGAAATAAAATATATACATGTAGTAATGAACTTATTTACAGTAAATTATTTAAAATGCCGGATAAAAATTATAATAGATATTTGAATACTTTTATTCCCGTTTTTATTTATTTTAAATAAAAGCGCTTCTAGATCACCATTATCATTATATACTATGTTAACATTTTTATAATATCTCCACAATAAGAGTAAACACTCAATATGCAGATTAATTATTAAATAGAAGTCCTTACCCATGTAAGACATATGTGACAGTAAATGAAAGTCAACTGTTTAGCTTGTTTATAATGTAAATATCATTTTGAAAACTACGGTAAACATTAAAATGCTTAAGTAAATTCGAACAATTGAGAGATTTTTTCCAATAAATGTTCTTGCATAGCCGAAAAATGGGCATGGGCACACGGCTCGTCTTATTCCCCCAGATTCTTTAAAGATAAAATCGTGGGAGAAATTTTCTATGCTTTGAATATTTTAGCAGGAACTACATGTAATTCATATTTACTCGGTTCTGAATCATACATGTATATTTTAATATGTTGCCCCACAATAATTTTGCTAGTACATACTATACAGTAGAATTAACTTATGGTTGTGCCCCATCAAAAATATCGTCTGAAAATTTCATTTCAATTTTATTTATTGATTTTTTTTCATGATCATTATAATAATAATAATTATTATTATTATTTGTTTGTCCAGAATTTATGAAATTGCTTCCTCCGGGCCTGTGACTGATATCATTCGATGTCATAAATGCAAATATTATTTGATTATTCTGTGCATAGGATTTCCAATCAATTAATGATTTAATCTGATATAGTGTAACATTGATTGAAATAAAACATGTCTTATCCCATAGCGACTCGAACAATAATTTTGCAAACTCTATATACCATTAGTGTTATTGAGATCAGTATTTCTATGTGCTATCTGAAATAACAAAATAAATGTCTCTTTTATTCATTTTCCAAGATGAAAGCCAAGTGTGGTCTCGTTTCTTTTGTAAACCTAGAAAACAATTCTAATCAGGTAGCCAAATAGATAAACATCTAACAGAGCTCCGATAACATCGAGATATCGCCCAGTCTTCACAGAAACTCTAATGAAATACACATGTGTCGATGAAATTCACTCGCACCATGTATTTGCAATATTAGTTGCGGACATGGTTTTTGCTCCTGTCGAAAGCTTGTATTGTTTCTTAGTTATCGGAACAAGACCCGTGTGGGACGTGACTAGTCATTTTGCACATTTCGTCCCAGATTTACCAACGATTTTTTTTTGTCTGACTACAGACTGCATGATCTTGCGAAGAGAATGATTCCGTTCTCTAACATTTTGTAGGCTCTTTTTATTCATTAATTCTACTGCAATTAGTTATGTTTCCATCGATTTACTGAAATATTTATCTTTTAAAATATTTATATTCGAAAGTAAATTACCGAATATAGACGAAGATAATTTATTCAAGCGATAAATATAAGAAATTTCTATAAAGTTCACTTCACACTGAACATGCTATGTGTTTATGACGTGTCTCCATTGTTCATTCTTATCGCTTTTATGAAAAAAATGTTTTACATTCTCAAAACTAGAATATACTTGATAAATATTAGTTCTTAATTCCATGGACAAACATCCAACAGGCATAAAATATGGACGATTATATATATAAATGTGTAAAATATTGTCATAATAACATTTTTATTGATTTTTTAAACATGTTTACAAAACGTTAATTTTCCTTTACTTTTTAGCAGTTTAGCATAAACCATAGACCTGAAGCTTTAGGTCTATGTATAAACCAATAATATTGCATTAAAGTGACCTGGTTTTCGGGAGTAGTTAATGTTTACACGTAATAATATACTTGTCTCTTAAATTAGGAAAAAACCGGTCAGATAAGTTATAAAAATGAAATATACAGTAAAGGGATCTTACATAGATGACATGGCCTATACTACAGCACTATTGATCATCTACATTACACAAATCACCTTTCCTTCTATAGTAATACCATTTATGACGAATATGTTTCAAGTATCCTCAAACAAAATTAGTCGACCAATTTGTTTTTTTAATAAATGCATTTTGATGATCCACATATTTCAGTGAAAACATTGTACACTATGCTATATATGTAAGATCTTTCTGATTGTATGATATAAGTCAGCCAAACCTAGTGTATTAATTTCAAGTTGTAATGCAGGAGACGCTGTCCTCAATCAAGATCAAATCTTGAAAACATTCCCTCAATGTACTGTTGTTTGTAGCCCATATTGAAATGTTTTGCGCATACTAGATATTTTCTTACACACTCAGACTCATAATTTTCTCAGGTAATCAAAATTGCAGCGAAAGGCATCGATTTCATTAATTGGTAATTTATCAAGACAAGACCAGATAATGAAGTTGAAGTGTTAATTTGGTATGTTAATTAAGGGGCAGTTATGGCACGAGGAAAATTATCGGCGAGAGTCCCGTGGGGCAAGATGTCTATCGCCAACAACGTGCTTTATGCCTCACTGCATCTGACACAGGAAGTTCCTGTTGGGAGTTTATATATTATATTTATAAAATACTTTTTGCTTAATTTGCTAGGAATTATGTATGCAATGAAATGATACTTTCAAAAAGACATGTCTTTCTCTGTTTCTTTGTTTATTGAATAAATAAAAAAATTGGAACAAGTTTTTTTTTTAAAATATAATTTATTAGTTCCTCTCCCTATACATGTATATTACAATATGTTATGCAAATTAAAGAAAAATAATACAGTTAATACAAGTGAAAAGCGATTAATTAACACAACCGTATTTGCTCTGCTCCCGATTTTGTATTATGTCAATGGACTTTTGAGCGTTATTTCCATCTTTCCATATTTCAACTATGAGAATCTACATGTTCGTCAAAAAATTATGAACAATAAATTATGAACAGCAGCAAAAATACTGTTATTTGTAAAGGCAAATTTACATCACCACTTTATAATAGATTTATATCAATAGTGACCACAAGTGATTGAAAAGATTACTTCTAGCATTAGAAAAATTTTTGCAGGCAAAAAAGAAATGACGCACTTTTTCATATTTTCGACGTGAACATAAAGGACTATCAATAATTGTTCGTTTATATAAATCATAGTTTAGTACACAACAATGTCTTAGCTTAGTATGAATAATATTGGTATATCGCTTAGGAAAGAAAAGTACGATAGTGGATTTTAAATTTTTGTTACCAAGTTTTTTTTTTCGGAATGATTTGATTGATATGGCTTCTCTGACCTCTATTGTAAGTAAATTCCATTGTTTTACCGCATTAGGTAGAAGGGAATTTCTAAATAATTCTAATCTGCTTCTTTTATATCGAATAGATCGTGCAAGCATTTCTTTTTATTTAACTGCACTACAATTTTGAATACATAAATCAAGGAATTCAAACTTCTTCCTTTACAGAATAAGCTCTATAGACTGCATTATCTGCTAAACAATGAAGCAGTGGAAGTTGATTCTCAGCGCATTCTCTCAGCGAGTAAAAGTAAATGATCTTGTGCGATTGGTGGAATAAGAATTCATCTCGTCCCCGTGTTCCTGAAGGGGGCGTGACCAGGGCGCGTGGTTATGACGTAGTCCTATCAGCTCGTGTTTCAGCAACCACGAAAGATAGCAAAACCATTCTAATACCTCCAAATACTCCAGAGAAAAACACAAGGAATGTCAAAAAGATGGTAAAAATCGCCTGAGAATGCCATCTCGCACGATCTACCTTTGAGCATTGCATTATGACATCCTGCGATATGATGTATCAATTCTATAATCCGTATTTCTCTCATAAAACACCATCAAGCGATTTCGCGGTAAGTATAAATAAAACAGGAGAAAAGTTAATTTTTTTTTAAATTGAATAAAAATAATAGATCTCGTTTAAATAAGATCGGACATGTGTTTATCTTGTATCCAACAAACATGTTGGAATTTCCGGTATACATACCAAACCGAGGAAAGCAAACATACCGATAGGTTCTTACGATGTTTTGGTATATAGTGGATATCTTTGGACTTCTAGGAATTATTTTACTCGAGTTCTATTATTGGTTGGATATTTATCTTTGAGAAAGAAATTTGACGATCCTTTTAATACTATTTGGTGACTGATATTACGGATGATTTTAAGTAAATTTGCGATTGTCACTAATTTGTCAAATAATCAGGAAATGCTCAGATGTTTTTGATAACTGTTCTCGTCGCCCGTGTGCTTTTTATTTCAGATATTAATATGAGATCGAGTATATTCCTGTGAATTAAAAAAATATTGAATAAAATAGGCGTAATTATTTTTCAGAAGTTTGGAACTCCCGGCTTAACGACAGACCATCATCACCTACAGGCTAGCGGTTCATACCCCCACAGCTCATTACCCCCGTGCACAGGAAATGATAGACATGGGGACATAGAGGGGGAAATAGACCCGGAATCTCAACCGAAGTCCTCCCAATACCTCAACCCAAACTGTGTCCTCCTGAGTTATTTTTCTGGGGACACTTCGACCGTGGTGGACGAACACTTCAGTCGAGCTCTCAGTCAACCAAGCAGCTTTAATCTGGACCGAAATTTTAGCTCCTCTTCGTCATTTTCCGTCAAATCTAAAGCAGGTAAGTTCCTATAGAAATTAGTTTCTAAACAATAACAACTTTATTGTGACAACGACATAATCCACTTTATACATGTATATAGCAAAATGATGAAGTACTTCGCTTACCTTTTTTTCGAAGCCTCGTTTTCTGTTTTACATTATAAATTATGTTCCGAGGTGTATGTAGTAAAAGATTGCAATCTTTATTCTCAAATGTGCAAAATACGTTTTTACCGCTCGTTCCAGTCTTGCGGAAAATTGGTTAAAGATAAAACATTTCTAAAACCCCTTGGACAAAACTTTAAATTTGAGTTAAATGGATTAAATATGTTCTTTTTTCTGATTCTCGTGAAATCGGTCAACTTAGAGAAAGTCAGATTTTTCAATAAGCAGCTTACAACATGCAATTATTTTCCCGTCTATATATTTAAGAATTATTTGGAGTAAGTCGTTTTGCTAACAGTGTCTTACATATTTCAATAAATGTGTGTAAAACTTTATTTTTTTTTTTTTTCCTGTTAGATTTTGAGTCTTGATTGTTTATATCTTATGGAGATCGCTTTTTAATAAACCGATAATTGCCGGAGTTAGACCACTGTTTCATTAGTTGTCCTGTCCGGTGCCGAATATTCCGAAAAGGGTCAATAAGAAACCCCCGCTTTTTAAATATCTTATAAATTTCTCTTAATTTCTAATTCTACTAGTTTCTGTTTTGTTTTGAAAAAAGTCGCACGATTTGGGTCAGTGAATTCCATGAAACGCGGAGACATAAAGTGTGGTCGGCTTACAGCTGTGTCTGCTTAATTTCTACGATTTCAAAATTAAGGAGGTCTGCACTTAATAGTGATATTTTTATTATCAGCATGATCAATCGAATATTCTTGTGATCTGTCATAGTGAGAAGCAGTAATATACGATTGATTTAAGAAATTAATTAGATTTTGCAGAGTCCGTGTGTGCAAACTGAAGTTATTCAATCTGGGAAAAAAATTTACTAATGACAGTCTATTATTATGATTCAAAACAAAATTGCTATGACTAAAATATAACACGTTTGCAATTCAAGATTACAATTACACTACACACTCTGAAGAAAAGGATTAAAAAAATTGCCAAAGTTGTTTTCCTTAAAGCGAAAAAAAAAATCATCTGAAGGGAAACAAGATATTCTCTCTCTCTCTCTCTCTCTCTCTCTAGAGAGAGAGAGAGAGAGAGAGAGAGATTCATACAACTGATTCCCTTCTTTTTTCAATTAATTTTCTACTTTTTTGAAGAAAAACCACTGATGTGTCATCGAAAGTTACCGCCGTCATTCTGGAACAGTGCTTACAAACCGCCGTCAGGCCAGTTTGGGACAGGAAGTAACTTTGACTACTCCCGGGATCCATATTTCCCGTCATCTTGGTACTCACTGCAAAATAACTGGCCCTACAGGCTCCCCTCCCACAGTCACACTGACCTTAGCGGGTCTCTCCCATATTCCTCGTTTGACGCCACAGGAAAGTTTGGATCCACATACCAGTCTCTCATGTTTCCTGGAAGTTATGACACAAGACAATCTAAATATGACTTTGCCAAAAATATGGAATCTTTAGCGGGAACAAGTAGTTATTATGGATTATCCAGACTAGGAATGGATTTTACATCCAAAGGGGACCCACCGGTCAATGGTAAATATTTTTGAACAACATTGAAATTGAAGTTAATGGCGACTTCGAGTATTTTTGCTGGCCTTATAAACTAGCAATTACACTACCTTTTGGCTCGAGTATTTCAACTTATGTTACAGTAAGACTATCTGAAAGTAATCATTGGTTCGTCATTTACAACTCTTGTCATTTTTCGAGATTCTCAGACAGTTAAGATTTATTTACGACTTAATAACTTCCTTTCAAAGTGATTCATATATATATATATATATATATATATATATATATATATATATATATATATATATATATATATATATATATAGATAGATAGATAGATAGATAGATAGATAGATAGATAGATAGATAGATAGATAGATAGATAGATAGAGTGTTGTATAGTAAACCTTCCGCATAGCAAAACTTTCGCGGAATGATTACTATACAGCAATGCCCTACCCCCCTCGGAGTAATTACTGTTTAGCAAACCTTCCTCCCGGATATACATGTAGTTTCCCTTGGAAAAATTTCCTACATGTATCCTAGGATATTTGGCTGTTGACATCCCCCACAATCAAATAATAATTAATTCATAAATCAAAATTAAGTACATTCATTACATGTACATTTTGATTGTTGATAGTACACGGCTCAATTAGTTTGATTTTGATCTGCTGGAACTGTTGTTAGATTACTAGCATCTTGATGGACCATTGTCATGAAATTTGAATTTTAACTGAAACCAATGCTATATGATTTGTTTCAAAGCTACAAAATTTTCTTACTGTTTGTCGAGCAATGAAATAATTCTTGTCCATGGTCTTCAAAAACAAATTGGTACTGAGAATTGTTAGTAATGTGTTAAAATGCTTGCTCACAAAACGTTCATCAATAGGTTCACAGAGACGATATCACATAGTAAAATACATAAATAAATACATTATAATAAGATATAACCCAACTGTTTTTGGTAAGGTGGGAAGTTTAAGTTTTCAAAGCGGAAAAAATACTATATATTAAACGTTCCCTTTTGGAGGAAAGTTTTCTAAATGTGTATCCAGAAAATCTTCCACGGGGAAACTTAATTATGTGGGAGAGCTGGTTGTGTGTAAGACATATAATTCGTGGTCCACTTAAAGATTATTGTGATTCTTTCTATCTATTTTATTTTTCATCTGTGGAAGTTAATTAAATGTTTAGAAATTCTCATTTTAAGGATCAGTACGCTGTTACCGTATTAAAAATATACAAAAGAATATCAACAGTGTTTCGGAAAAATTAATAAAGATATCAATGTTACATATTGTACCCGGTATATTATAATAATGATAATATTTATATATAAAAAAGGGACATATTCTGGAGGCCAAAAAATCTCTAATAAAAAATTTACTTGAATAAAATTCCCTAAATTGTAAAATACAATTTTCTTTAATAAATCAAAAGTCCAAGCCTATTTTCCTTTTGGAGTTTCAAAGGTTTTCCATAACAAACCAGTTTTTACACATAGTGATTCGATCAAAAATTTCAGACCCCCCCTCCCCCATAAACCAATCGAAATTTCTATGAAATTCAAATAGATATATTCCAATTATAATTTCATTTTATTATTCCTTTTGTTGTTCCACAGATATTTTATATCATCAAAAGTCTATTTTGTATGAAATGTTACAACCAAAGTTTAAGATTTTTATTTTAAAATCCCCTTGCAATTACAATTTGAATTTTCAATTCAAATACAGAAAACAAGTACTATATAAGATTTATGTTTTGTTTTTTTTTATTATTATTATTATTTATCCATTCTTAAAGCAATATGTGCTGCAGTTTTGAGAATTTTATTTTGCTGTTAAATTGTGTTATGATAAATCTGTATGTAATTTAAACCTTTTTGATCAATTAGACAGAAATAAAGTATCAAAAGGATTTTGTACAATCAAATATTCAAATCAATATTGTACAAGACGACAATAATGTAATTTTGCTTCAATCAAAGCTTATAAATACTTCTTCCATCGTAAATATGAACAACAGAAGTTTATAAACGTTCTTTTTTCTGTCATTGAAATGGTTAATTACAATTTTGCAACAAAAAATTCTGACATCAAAGTTGCAGCTTATATTGCTTTAATGAAGATTTCTGACATCCATATTTTTTTCTTTTGGAAAAGTCTTTGAAAAAATATATTTAAGTAACAAGTTTCCAAAGTCTTTTCAAAACTGGGCTTCTTGCAGACAATATATATATATATATATATATATATATATATATATATATATATATATATATATATATATATATATATATATATATATATATTCGCAGTTAATTTACACTTTCAAAATCTTGTAAATAATGTATTTTAATGCTACAAGTATTCATTTTATCTCCTTGAAAAAATATTAATCTGCCGTGATTTATACTGTGCATAGGCTTTCTAAGAGAGAGCAATATATATATATATATAGAGAGAGAGAGAGAGAGAGAGAGGCTCCATTTATAATTACGAATCTTCGATGAGCACAATTTGAATGTAAGAAAAACACGCGAGGTCATTATGATTCTTTTCAAATACTGTCTGAACATTGTATAAAATAAAATCATCATTTATTGTCTGCTGAATTAAATGTACATACAGGTATATTCAATATTTGAGAATTTCCTTCTGTTTTTTTTTTTCGAGGGTTTTATTACTTTTATTTTATCATTCACGTATTCAGTCGACAAATATATAAATTACAATATGCTCTGTTGATGGATTAAAAAAATTGAAATTATATGTTAAACCCCCAAATAGTACGAGAATAAGTATTAACTCGTGTACCTCGAAAATAAATCTTCTTCCCATCTTTACCGTTTCTCAGGTATATATATTTTTTAATAGAAAAAGAAGAATTTTACATAATAATGCTTGCATGAGGAAATGAAGAATTTGGTGTTTTACAGGGTTGGAGTACCAGTTACAGACAGCTCGGCGGGAGTTGTGTTGGTGACACCCTACACAAGAGTTCCTGCAAAACAAGAGACGAGAGAGAGCACGTCCACTGTGGTGATAAATGACAACAAATCAACGTGCACATTCACACGTCTAAAATCTATACCATTATTAATGAGCACGATAAATTCGTTCAAGTTTTTCAATTTGATTAATGGAGGCAAATGTTGAAAAACTGGAGGTCAAAACCGGTGGCAGCAGGCCTGTGCTCACTTCCATCCGATCATAAAAATGAATCGTAGATTTTGCATTCATATAATATTGTCATTATCTCATCAACTTACAAAGATTATATGATCTGCTATAAGTGGCTATGGTGTACAATAAAATGTTATATTGTATAGATTAACCTTTTTTCAACAATAATTGGACTTTTTTTTAAATTTCCTTTTTTTCTTTTTAACTGGAAAGTACTTCAAAACTTTAAATACCAATATGCTTGTTTTATACTGACAAAGGAGTATGATCGGCTACAGTGGAGTGTATAAAATGATCAGTAAGTGATGTAAAGTTGGAGAAGCTAAGCGTCAGGAGGCACTCAACACGTGATAAAACAAGCATTCAATCTAACACAAACCAAAACAAAACTTGGTCGCTGGATTATCCCCAGTGTTCTCTCTATTTCTGCAGCTGTCATTGCTCTAACTCCATCGTTCATCTGGAGGAGAGGTAGCTTGACTTGTCTCTAATTATCTATAACGTTTACGGTTACCAATAGTGTGGGCAAAGATAATTACAACGCGATCCTTATCAAGCTTGTTTGGGTTTTCTTCGTATAATTTGTCAAAACCATTGGTATTGCCAGCAGAATTTTCAACAAGAAATTGTTATTAATTAAACTGCAGTCAACGTGTGTAATCCTACAGATTACGGTGTGATTATATGACACGGTCTTTGTTGTTTCAGATGAAAATTTAGACTGCCCTATTTCTCAAGTTTAAAAAAGATTATCATGGCATTCTAATAATGATAAGGCGAACACTCGGGAGAATCATCTGAAGTCAAATAAATTGCTGCCTTGTTATGATCATGTTTATAGATTAATCCTTCTACAAAGAAGACTTTTACCCATTTCATAACATCTTTAACATTAGGTAATCAAAATTCACAAGAAATTGGGTTCTGAGGTATCGGTTTGCCCGGCACTTCCCGTGTTTATTACAATATGTACTTGGTCTGTACAATACCCGCTAGCTCTATAAATCTGCGTATTACAGGACATACACAATAACAAAGAAATGTTTGAATGAATTATAGTGTTAACGTTTTGTTATAGACACATCATAATACAATCTGTCATAGAATGGACGTTGACACAACAATTTCGGTGGAATGTCAAGAGAAATATAGATCAAGCGCTTCTCCCTGTATGACGCCTCAGTATCACGGTAATCATCTCCGATAAGTCCCGTTCTTCACACCACGACGAGGAGGTAAAAATAATACAGCTAGCTTTGTAACATGATGTATCTAATACACTACATATGTCATTGATAAATGCTAGATTGGGTGCCGTGATTGACAGTCAGGGTCTACGCTATTTTCGTCTTCTTTTTTCGCGTTGTCCGAACTGATGAATGGCATATGTGCACAAAAAGATTATACAATATCCACAAAATGTCACTTGTAATAGTGGGCTTTTCCCTTCAACTGTGAATTTTCTTTGACAATTAATATTCGCCACATTTTCCAACTTTTACTGTCTATTCTTTTTTTCTAAATGAAAATATCTAATAGATTTGTTAACTGTTACAGATTGACAAAGATAACTAATTTCCTTGTCCTTTTTTATTCTGAGTGCATGTTGGTAATACATATATCGGTTCAATATTTCAGAGGATGCATTTGTTTTGTATGAATTTCACAACATGAGATATAGTTCCTACTTCTATAATCTGAGAAGGACCTTAAATAATTTCTTGGCAAAACAAACATTTTTACAAGCATCAAACCAGCGTGTTTCCAACTTAGTATTTCTTGAACGTGAACATTTTAGCACTGCACGATTTCTAATGCCTTGTTCACACGGAGATTTTAAATCGATTAATCGTAAGTAAATTTAAATTAAATATAAACCGTGTTCACATGGAAAATTTAATTCGAATTACTAGTACATGTAATTTAATTCGAATTAAATTATTGTCCATCAAATTAATTTTACATTAACTCCGTGTGAAACTATTTCGACAATCGCAACTTCTTGGATCTTTCCGACAAGCGGAAAAACATCTAATATGTTACGTGGCGTCAGAAGATAGTTATTCCCATCCTAATGCAATTACTAAATTTGGTACATGATGTTTGCATCTATTTCGTTGAGTTTTGTTTTTGTGATAAGAAATATGTCAAGAAACATTTATACTTGCCATCTTGTGATTTTGCGTCATTCTATTAAATCTTTTTTCATCATTTCATTCCTATCCAGTAATGTTTTGAATAAAATCTCCTAGAGCTGGTCTACTAGAAGCCCAATCTTTATCGTGTCGTCGTATGTTTACTGTAGCTACTCTTCCAAATATACACTAAATATTTTTAGTGCAGGCCTGTATCATGTTGTAATTTTTTAATTTACTAGGGGGAGGTAAATGCAAAATTTACAAAATGATAACTAGTTATCATGTTGTAAATTTTGCATTTACCTCCCTCTAGTAAATTCAAAATTTACAACATGATACCTGCCCTGCAGACCATCTTGACGAAAACAGGCTTAATATGAGCCCTAATTTGACAAAAACGTGCCCTGCTATAATTGTCATTTATTTATTGGTTAAACCTTGCATATTAAGAAGATTTAACATTTTCTACATATGGACAGACAAAACATCGTTAACAGTTAAAGGACTTGTTACGTAGACCTTTCTTGCTTTTCTTTAACTTGTTAACTTTGAATGGTAGAGTATATTATCTACTGACAGCCTTGTGCACCAGATGTCGTGTCGTTTGCCTGTGTCGTTTGACATACTGTAGCGGGAGACACGCCCGTCTCAGTCTCTGTATTACACACGCCTGACGCCCCAGTGGCTTCTACAAATGAAGTATTTGTTGGTGACTGATCTGGAACATCAACTTGTTTTTCCTTGTCCGTCTCTAAGTATTGTTCCCATTTTTTCAGTCGTTCGTCCCGCTCTGCTTCTGACTCCTGGATCTCATATTTAGTCTTTCCATCCCAAGATTCCGCCGAGATTCGGCGTTTAGCGAACCAACGACCATTCATTGCTGCAATACAAGCGTCCGCCTGCTCTGGTTCTTTGAATGACACCGACATTACGCCTTCTGGGTGGTTCTAGCACAATCATAGAAAAAGAACATTTAAAACAGAAAAAAATCTTGCATTTCATTGACGAGTAATATATACATATTATTTAGAATGTATGAAAACAAATGCTACTGTATACCTGGATAAGAATAGCTCAGTACCGTATATCCATGCTTGTTTTTGTAGTTGTTAAGGATTTTCTGTTTGGTGTTTTCTTAGGAAATTTTAAGGCTTTATTAAGGTTCCTTCATTATTACAATCATTATAACAAGGTATTCGGTTGTCCAAAATTTGAGAAAATCTGTTGGTTTGAAAGAGGGCAAGTAACTAAAGAAATAACACAACTGTCGCAAAGGACTTGAAAGTCCTCATCAAAGACGCAAAAGTGACCCGCGGAATATTTCTATCCTCTACACTCCTAATATGACTGATTCTTATAGTCTTATACCGCTAGGAATACAATAAGGAAGAAACGTCTGATACTTACATCATAAATTTTGACATTTTTGACGTCTCCAAATTTTGAGCTTTCTTGTCGAACGTCGTCACGAAGTTCATTAATCAACACTGGGTCCACCTGAAAAAGCAAACTCATTTTTATTACAGAATGTGGCTGATAAATCAAAGCTCTATCACCCGGTCATTTACAATCAGAAATAATTTAAAGAGACCCTCGTAACAATCCGATTTGTTTTAGTGCTACTGTGTAAGTAAATCCCAAATGGAATGGTATCTATAACAAATGAAATTTTATCTAAAAGATGATAAATCATGCATAATTATGTACACATAGAAATCTACACAAAAATGCTTTTAACACCTAACCCCTCCCTCCCCCAAAAATCGTCCGCAAAAGAATTAGATGATATAATCTACCCCCCCCCCCTCTCTATCTATAAATAATATTTTTGAACCCTCAGTAAAATAATTGAAAAACTTCTTTTTATTGTAGATTCATATAGGAAACCATTTTTAAAGGTATGGCACAGTACAATCATATTGAATTTTTGCTATTCTTGACTTTTTAAAATAAATTGAATATGATTTTATAGTGCCTGAGTAAAGATTTTCTGGAAAATATCAGACTTTTCAAAAGGGATAAACATTTCTTCTAATGAAAAGAGTTTAAAGTATATCAGTTCCGTTGTGATATATTAGTGTCTAGAACTTATGAAAAGAGCTTACAATCTTCGATCCTATTCAACTTAATCAAAAATCTTTTTAAAATATTGTTGGAAAAAAAAATCAACTTATATAAGGGTCTCTATCTGATAAATAATGACATGTAACAGTACTTGGGGGTAATACTTTCTGGTACACTCAAAATAATACACATGAATAAAATCAAATCTTTTTTTTTTTTTAATGTCTTACAAACTTAGACCGGAGAGAAAACATGACAGACCGATATACCACACAAAGCTGCCGCATGCATTCACCTAAATCACGTGTTGTCTGTGTGCACATTAATAAAATAATTGAATTACATCTTTTGAGCATCGGCGTAATTTGTTCATAAGCAACTTGGGTCGGACATACACTGAATATTGGGTAAAGACACATGTTTAAATAGCACGACATCATTCCCGGAATGCGCTTAGGACATAGCTGGGATGTCAAAGTCTAACGTTATACGGCTTGCAAGGGAGTTTAGAATTCCGCAATGATGGTTTTATTACATTAATATACTTTGTGAAAGGCTGCAATAACTTTAATACTAACAAAGAAAATGGAAAGTGACTGGTAGCGACATAACTGTAATATTTGTTACATATTTGTTGATGTTTTTGCTTTCCCTGTCTGTCTCTGACATGGACTTCCAATGAAAACATTATGTATATTAAACAGTGTACTAAATCTAATTTAGCTTTTGTAATTAAAAGACGACATTATTTTCTTAATCTTAGAAAAATAACATGCATTTAATGTTACAGTTCAAGGCTATTTATGAAACTTTATTTCTCAAAGCCAGGCAGCAGTAGTGCTCACCTGTTACAGATAGCAAAGAACAAATTACCTCTCAATTTGATACAATGAAGAAGGCTAGACTGTGTATCTTTTCCATTTGAAAATCAAAGAAAAAATATCTACAATTCCTTATAATTTTTTTAAGAATAAACCAAAACAAAGGATTGATTGATTGTATGTTGTTTACTTAAAACAAAGGACATGACTGCTTTACCCAAGGTTCATTTGTATTGCACCATCATAAGAAGAAATGTACCTTTACTCCATTAGTAAAATATGTCGAAAGTATGAATACACCTGTATTTTTAATACCGGCATTTTTTCATGTATAGAACTAAAACCCTCAGTATAATTGTTCCTTTATAGCATGGTAGATACATATGTAGTAGTGACATCTAACAACTAAACGAAGTCTCATTGTATTAAGTTCATTCACTCGTATTAAGCAGATTTATAAATGATCTCTTACGTATGGTTATAATAGTATAATGAGAGTTTACACTTACAAAGATTTATCAGTGTATGGAGTTTTATTTAAACAATAAAATGCTTTCTTTGGTTGTTAGTACGGGAATTAATGTCGCAGCTGTTGCAGAAAAAATACATAACCCGCGTAAGCGGGTTATGTAATTTTTTTCTACAATAGCTGCGACGTTAATTCCCGTACTAACAACCAAAGAAAGACATTTTATTGTTTATATTTATGTCTTTATAAATAATCATTTAAAGTAGGATTAAAAAGATTAATTAATGTATTATTGATATGTACGTCATAGTAGGTTTCATAGATGGAACAGCCATTGATCAAGAAATCTTTACAGGTGATATGCCTAGTGTTGTTCATGAACTGATAAACGGCAATGGTTTTCTTTAGAAATAAAGGAGAAAATATTCAGTGGATGTAAATATGAAGGAATACTTTATGGAATTAAATAAAAGATGAACCAAGAGTAAAATGAGGAAATATGAGAAATACAATGTCATAAGTAAAAGAAATACAATGTCATAAGTAAAAGAAATAAATTGTCTAGGTTAAAAAACACTTTAATTGCTCTCATAGATTTGTATCAGTATACAAAGATGGGCGTACTTGGCGCGTGATCTGTGTGCACAACTTATTTAAATGCCCAGTCAAAGAGACGATTTGGTCGTCTGACTACAGCTGGACGAAGTACTATCATTCCAATAACAGCATCTCAGTTTGCTTGATCAAGCGTGCTAAACTACCATATTACTCTCTGACTGGCTGGTTGGTTTAAAAAAATGCTTTACATATAAAACATATGATCCCCAAATACCACCAAGAGTATTAACCAATCGCATAGAACACGTTGAATGATTGTTTACTATGTTAGAATACAGCAACAAGTGGTCAGTTGGAGTCTGTTTTACTTTCTATAATATTACGCGTCATGTTCAATTGTAAATTGACCAGATAAAAATTTGATAAGTATCTTTACATGAAAACTAGTAAAGCAACACTTGAGTACTAGAACATGCATGCGGTATGCAAGTGATAGCTAAAAATGTTTGATTCGCTAGAGTTTCATTTTAGATGTTCAAGAAACTCTAGTGCTTTGTTGTGTGAATCCAATATTGTAATAAATCAAAACCTTTAGAAGGTCTCCTCCTTGAACTAAGATTATCTATCACAACCAAATATGACACATGCAGAAAATGGACTTTGACTGACCACGTGTTGCTGCTTACTACAAATGCCGTAATCGTAAACAGTCATTCATTCTGACTGGTCTGTATTGAACTGTATATTTTTTTTAAAAATTTTTCTGCAGCTGCTGATTGGTTACTTTAAATAGTAATCATGGGGGCTGCTGACTGCAGGGTGAAAAACAAGGAGAACACCCTAACGTCTTAATATAGTATGAATTTACCATGCATCGGACACATACTATGGATTCAACTTTAACAGACTAGACATTCCTTCAGATTTTTTTAAAATTCAGAAGCTTCCAAAGGGCTCTGTCTCCCCTGTGCTACTCCATGGGGGCCACTGTGTGTGGATTAATGTTATTTGTCATACATATAACTAAATGTACTCCTTGAGTTTTATTGGTTAAATTTTTGAAGCACAGATTATGATGACATTTTCATATGTACAATGTAGCCGGTACATTGCATTGGTGATTCAAATTATCTTTTAATTGACTAATCACCACCCTGCTCTTCTTATGAAGATTTTTAAATATTTCTCCCAATGTGATCAAAAGAATCTTCAATGTTTTGTGCCTCATCCTACTTCATGCAAGCAACCAGTAAATAATAAAAAGTGTATATCAATAATAAACATAGGTAATCAGAGATTACAGAGCTCACCTCAACGAATGTTGTCTTTTAAGAAAGGCAAAGCCCCAAAACTAATAATGTAGTAGTGTGCATCCCTAGATGTAACATTTATGCAATTTTGGTCTGATAGGGCTTTCAGTTAACTTGGGAATGAACTTACCTAAAAACTTTAAACTAATAACTCATCCAGAAAATTTAAGTCACATCCAGCATCTGAAGCAAGTTTGAGAGTGTTCATCCCCTGATGCATCATCCATGCAAGTTTGGTTCGGATAGCTCTATAGTTTACTTTAACCTGATCACTCATCTAGAAAATGTAGGTCAGATACAGCATCCGAAGCAAGTCCAGTAGAGTGCATCTTTAGATGTATCATCCATGCAAGTTTCGTCAACATATGGCTTAAAGTTACTTGGAAATGAGACCTGCTCCAAAAATGTTAACCTGGTCACTCATCCAGAAAATGTAGGTCAGATCCAGCATCCGAAGCAAGTCCAGTAGTGTGCATCCTCGGATGTATCATGCATGCAAGTTTGGTCAATATAGGGCTTATAGTTACTTGGAAATGAGACCTGCTCCAAGAACTTTAACCTGCTCCATAAACATTAACCTGCAATCATTCTTCAGCTGAAATTGCAGCATTTGAAACCTTGACTGGTACAATGAAACACACTAGAAGCATCCTCCATGCATCTCTGATTAATATAGGGCATAGAAGTACTTGCAAAGAAATCTGCTCCAAAAACTTTAACTTGGGACGCTGACACAGACGGTATTACTTTAGCTCCCCCAACAACGATGAGGTGAGCTAAAAAGTGTATATTAAAGTTGTTGACATCAAAGACCATTTCTTTCCAGAAAGAGTTCACAATAACAGCCCAATTTTTTTTTATGCCCCTGTATTGAAGATTCGGGGGTATATAGTTTTTGCCCTGTCCATCCGTCCGTCTGTCTGTTTGTCTGCAAAAACTTTAACCTTGCCTATAGCTTTTGATTGGTTGGAGCTATGGTTTTCAAATTTCACAGGTGTATTCCTTGTGACAAGTCCTCCTTTGGATACCAACATATTTGACCTCTTGACCTTGATCTTGGAGTTTGACCTAGTTTTGCAAAAAATTACCAAACTTAAGCCTTGGCTATTTTGAACAATGGGTGCTGGGGCTTTCATATTTTACAATTCTGTATAATTATTTATTGTGACAAAACCTTTCTATGGGTGTATATATTTTTTGACCCTATGACCTTGACCTTAGAGTTTGACCCACTTTAAAAAAAACTTTAACCTTGGCCATAACTTTTGAACAGTTAGTACTAGGGCTTTCAAATTTCAAAAGAATATTTCTTGTGACAAGACCTTCCTTTGAAAGCCAAATATTTTGACCCCTTGACCTTGAAGTTTGACCTACTTTTGAAAAACTTTAACCTTGGTCATAACTTTTGAACATTTGGTGCTAGGGCTTCTATATTTTGCACGTGTATTCACTGTGAAAAGACCTTTCTTTGAAAGCCAAATATTTTGACCCCTTGACCTTGAAGTTTGACCTACTTTTGAAAAACTTTAACCTTGGTCATAACTTTCGAACATTTGGTGCTAGGGCTTCTATATTTTGCACGTGTATTCATTGTGAAAAGACCTTTCTGGTGTAAAGACTTGGGTGTAAATATGTTTTTACCTTTTGATCTTGACCTTAGAGTTTGACCCACTTATAAAAAAACTTTAACCTTGGCCATAACTTTTGAACAGTTAGTACTAGGGCTTTCAAATTTCTAATGAATATTCCTTGTGAAAAGACCTTTCTTTGGATACCAATAATATCGACATTTTGACCCTGGAGTTTGATCTACATTTGAAATTTTTTTTAATTTGGCCACAACTTTTGAACAGTTGGTACTAGGGCTTTTATAATTTGCATGTGTATTTCTTATGATAAGGTCTTCCCCTGTGTACCATTAATTTTGACCCTTTGACTTTGACCTTGGAGTTTGACCCACTTTTAGAAAACATTAACCTTGACTATAACTTTTGAATGGTTGGTGCTTGGGCTTCCATGTTTACCAGGTATATTCATTGACACAAGTCCTTTCTTTGGGTAACAACATTTTTGATCTCTTGACCTTGACTTTGGAGTTTGACTTGCATTTGAGAAACTTTAACCTTCGCCATAAGCTGCCATACAGGGGCATCAATGTTTCACAAACACATCTTGTTTAAGTAGTTCTAAGATAAAGCTTTTGAAACACTAAAACTCATTATTTATGAATGTATTACATTAAATTTATATTTGTGTACTGATACTTAGAGAATATCCCATGGCTAAGAGTCAGGCGACCATTTCACTAACAGGTCGTAGCTCGTAAACGTAGATGTAAAGGTGAACATAGCATGTAAGTGCGTTTCACTAAGAGTTACAAATTGCGAGTTAAGATTAAAGTTGATCGTAAGTCTACGAGCAGTCAAGGGCACTCTTAAGATACTTATGTGCAAGTAATTTCAAGAAAAAAGCAACACAAAACAAAAATATAAGCAAGAAAACAAAAAATATTTCCACTTTTCACATCTTTGTCTGCACTCAGTCATAATACTGGTAAATTGTGTAGACTGAGTCTGATCTTAAAACTCACATTTAGTAAAAAATATACATACTCGCAACTTATAATAAAATAAAATCAACCCTTTTAACTTTATAGGTGCGGTTACATTTAGATATACAAATTCTATGAGGAGTAGGTAGCCGGTTAAAAAAAATTGTTGGATCAGTGCCTGTTAAAGATTGTAGAACCATGTCAATTTATATAGAGGTTTTCAAGAATTTAATAATTTAGTTTGATAACTTGGAAATATTTTGCCACAATTATTTTCCCGATGTTTAAGATTTGCACGGGATATTACGATGGATAGTTTGCTAAAAACTTTACTTACATGTCATAGATTTATGTTGTGTACAAATTATAAATTCTAAAGAATATAGTGAGAAAGGCAATTGCTCTCCGAGAAGTTAATTGATGAAGCAGAAAGCAGAGAAAGAATTGATATAATACATATTAAAATGAGTAACTTTAAAAAAAAAAAAACTTAAACAATCCTGCATGGGAGTATTAGCAATATTAAAAAAAATAAACATACTGAATTGTATTATTTGTTTATTATAATTTTTTAACAGAAACATGAAATAAGAACCGCCAATTGATACGTACAATCGGAAATAAACGTTTTCAAAAATGTATGTTACACCACGAGTGTGTAATAAATTTTAGCTTGAAGTAGATATTAACATTTAGACGCCACCATGGACTTAACTTGTCAATTAAGAGAAGTAAAATGCACGAATGAATTTAGATAATTGATGCATATGATTTGATCCTAGTTTTAAAGGAACTTATGTCAAATTTCATGCATAGAATAAATATATAAAATTATATTTTTCTTTTTAATAATCTATTTTCCATGAATTTTTGTCCTTTTCTTTCTTCAATTATTTATTTTTTAAGACTAACAAAAATGGTGAAATATTTTTTTTATTTCGTAATGATCTCTTTTTTATTTTTTCTCTCTCTCTCAAATAAATACACCTCTTAGCCAAAAGAGTTCCAAAAAGTTGATCATAACTCGCCGGTCCTAATTAGTGCTACGTTTACGATAGGTTTAGTGAAACGCTCCTTAACGTGCACGTCTGGCAATCGTAAACGTAATCGTACGTTTACGATTTGCGACTTGTTAGTGAAACGGTCGCCAGCCTTTGCATAATAAAAATTTAAGGTCCATCTCCCAGGATGTAATTAAGGTCATCATTTTGATCAATAGGCATCAAAAGGTGATTGTTACGATTCCCTTGAATTTTTCTTACTTACATCAAACTCTTTGGGAGAAAACATGTTTTTCAAAATAACAACTTTCTCACATTTAAGTCTGGCATCGATTGGACGCTCTGGTCGCCAGTCAAACAATCTGAAAAACACAACAGTCATGAGAGGATTTCAATTTTTCAAACCAAACAAGTATCACCTGAACTTTAACCTACTCCAATTTTATTAAAAAAAAAAATAAAGGCCATGAAATATACCTAAACCTGGATATACATCAAATTTGATACATATATATATATATATATACATGTACATAAGTTTTTGGGAGAGTAATGCATCTGCAACTGAATAATATTTAAGGTTAGTAAACTTGTAGCTTAGTTGATGTCATCTAGAAAAACAATTATTTATTTTCAAAAGTTTATATCATTATCTAAATTTAAATTTTTTTATCAGTTAAGATGTGCTTTTAATACAGAAAGTTGTTATGTTTATACCCCTCACTTGAAAAGTGGGAAGTGTATAGTGATAGGCGTGTCTGTCCGTCTGTTTTGCTTTGGATAAACATCTCTTATCCACAACTCCACAACTCCTCTTATACCACTGAATAAAATTTAATGAGACTTTCACAGAATCTTTATTACACAGTGCCATTGTGCACCTCCTATTTTACTTTTTGATCTGACATTTATTTAGGGTCTCCCATAGCAAAACACGGACTTTGCTATTATAATCGTATGAAAGGCAGGGGGTATCATTTTTTGAGCTCAGTGCTCACAGTACCTCTAGTTTAGTACTAAGTTCAGTAGAATATGTGAATTAAATTAGTGGTCTCTGAATTTTTCTTTTTTGGCGAGGGGGTGGAACTAGAGGCCAACAATAATACACTTTCACTTTAATTTCTTCATAAAATCATGATTCAAACTTTTTCTAAAATGATCAATACTATCAGGTGTATTTAGTTTTTCATGTATATCAAACATGTTCTCACTTTTGCTGTTTCTCTTTTAACCTCTTCTTCTCTTTGTTGGTGAGTTTCTTTCGTTTTTTACTTGGATCAAAATTTCCTTTCATTGTAAACTTGGCTCTTTCCACATGAATTTTGTGTCCACGTATGTCATACCCATCCAAAATCTTTAGTGCTAGCTCTACAGACTCAACCTTCAGAAACAGAACAGACATGCAATCAAAAAATTTTCATGCTTAAAACAAATGTCTTTATTATTTGCATAAAACAAACCTTTTATATACTTGTTGTATATATATTTGTAGCAATAAACAAGTGGCCTATGGGTTACAACACTCTCTTGCATCACTATGGCCCTTCTCTTATTCACCATCAGATTTTTTTCCCTTAAAATTTCCCTCTTTAATTTCATAAAAAATATTTCCATATTGTGGACCAAAATCTGGTCCTAAGGGAGCTAAGATATGCACAAAATACTGGGATGCTTCAGTATTAATTAATATCAACATGGGTCTGCTGTTCTGGGGATATTTTTCCTGTACACATCAGGGATTGGGTATTTGAAGAAAAGTAATTATAATTGAGTGTATTACATTTCTCAAAATGACTGGAAGAAATCTGTACTTGAACATTTTTTTCAATTACTTGTAATTAAATCATAATTTATACTGAAATATTTTAATTTCTTTTCAATCACATTAATTACTGTACAAAAATCTTAATGTGCTAGTACATGATTTTCATAAATTTACATGTTATAATCATATCTGAAAATTATTATCACAACAATGCAATTGTCCAAAGTGTTATTTATACCATGCTTTATTTAACTTCAAAGATACATGTATGGCCATAGAGATGATTAAAAAAGCTCACTACCTTCAGAAAAAAAATTCATTAAAACATTATTTAAACACCTAAACAGATTTTTTATAAATTTAATGCATACATTATTTTAAAGTTAATAGTTAAATACATTGAATTGTGTCTTACTTTGATATAACAGCACCTGCCATCGCCTTTTGGTTGTCCATTCTCATCTGTGTAAAGCTTCAGTTTGAGAGCCTTTCTTTGAGGATCAAACATGATCATTCCACACTTGTTCATCAATTCCTTGAACTCCTCCTCCGTAATATCCAAAGGGAGACCACTCACATACACATTGGTGTTTTTCTCATCTTGCACATCAAACCACTGTGGTTCTAATTTATATATATATATATATATATATATATATATATATATATATATATATATATATATATATATATATATATATATATATATATATATATATATATATATATATATTACAGGAAATTATTGTTATAACATATTCATTAAATTTTTGGGTGAATCTCAGAAATTATATGTCAATTCTACCACTACTACAGCAAACATAAATATATTTGGCTATGCATTCTATTTAGTGCCTTTGAAGGAAAGTGGCTTATATTAAATCAAATATACTCTATTTTATACAAATATACATAATATGAATTAAGATCTACAATCAGAAATGCCCTATATCAAATCTTTGCTAACTTGCTGAAAAAACAATTTCCATCAAATATTGTACATGCTAAATATAATACATTTAATATTTATAATAGCATGAAGGACTTTTTGAGGGACTTTTGCTTGTTTATCATTTACTGTGGAATCATCAAAATTCGAGGAGGCCAATTTTTGTAGATTTTTGAAATTTTTCAGGTTTGTGGCAGGCTTGGGGTGAATTACTTTGTAATTTATTACACTTTCATTACTTCTAGAATTTGAGCATTAAGTTGCCATTTCCATTACTCTTCATTTTTAAGTAATGCATTACATTACCATTACTTTAGGAAAGTAATGCATTAATTACCATTATCGTTACTTTTTTGGTTTTCAAAACTAGTCATAAGAAATACAAAATCTGTGCAACTATTTTCATAAACACCTATCTCTTCAAAACTTAATATGATGTATTTTAAATTGAAATAAATTTGATTATTCAGTATTTTTTACACTGTTAATAACTTAAAACATCAGACATTTTTTGTTTATTCAGAAGAAAAAAATTCTCAATTACCAACAAGATAAATGTACAAAATGCACTTTCTGTTTAACTATTAATTGATTTACATCAGACAACAAACACTTTTGGAGCACTCTACCCCCTCTCATAAACTATTTGAATTCATCAGACAATTGTTTTGTTGTAAAAATTGAGACTGTCCATATCCAGAACATGGATTGCTGGATTACTGAGAGCAAATAACATTTGAAAAATTGGTACCTCCCGGAACATCAACAGTCTGGATTATTGGCATCCAGATTAATGAGGCTCTTATGTACACGTAAACAGACAGGATTAGCATTATATCTTATATCCACTGAATATTTTCTGCTTTATTTCTCATGAAAACCAATTTTTATCAATCCATTACCAATAATTTAGTTAGAGCCATTTTTTAAAGCCATCTGTTTGAAAGATTTCTAAAGAAATGGGCATCTTCCATCAAAATATTGCATGGACCAAATAATAAATGTAATACAATATTTACATACTTCACCCAATTGATATGAATAATTTACCAGTTATAACAATAAACAATAAAATGTATTTCTTTGTTTGTTAAAGGACTTATCGCACAATTTTAAATTATTTGAAATTAAAAGCATATTACGTTCCTTATGACTGCATTTTATAAATTTGGTGTTTTTACTGCGGATATACCACAGTAATTAAACAATTATTGACTCAAATGAAAACCTCTGAATTAAAAATCCAAGTTAATTAGATAGCGATCACATGACCCTGTGATGTCAAAGGTGACAATGGCTGATCAGCTCTTCCATGTTAATCTAACTAAAATATATGCGATACAACCTGGATATTTTGAGCTATGGACGACCAAATTACTGATTTTGATGATATGAAATTGGATATCCAACCTTATATGTTTGAACTGTCCGAGAGAGAAAATCTGAAAAATCTGTAAACAATGTAAAAATTAAATAGCAGCAACAATAGGAGACACGGCGAAGACAAAGAAACTCACCATCATAATACAATTTGATTTGTCATCTTATCACATGTTTTAATCTATTTTACACACAAATTTAACATTATATAACTTTGTTATTCTTCATTTTTAACACTATATTAATTTATGCAAGTATGCTTTCATATAGGGCCTATTTTGTAAAGGGTTGAGGTCTTCATTGCTGTAGTTAGAGCTACAGATTCTAAATGTATGGAATAAAAAACAAAAATATCTCAAAAGCCTTATAGTTAATATTTCTATAATAATTGAAAAGCATGCTAGGAATGAATTGTTTCATCATTTTTTGTAATTAAGCTGCATTTGTCGTTGATAAGTCCATAAACAGTCATCTTTCTATCACTGAATTGTCGCCTATGATGTCAGAGCAGTATTTCGCCGAAATCCAATTTAATTGAAATTATATGGATATATTGCCATATTTGAATTTCAACTTATCACTTAAAATATGGTTACAACAACTTTTATTGTATTCAGTATTTTAATAAACAAGGTTGTAGATAATATTTTTCATAAAATAAGGATTTTTAATGCGATAAGTCCTTTAATACAGGGATTAACTTTTGCAATACTTGCAGAAAAACTTTACATAACATGCTTTTAATCATAGATTACTAAATTTTTCTTCAATGTTGCAAATGTTATTCTAGCCATTCAGAAAGAAAGCATTTTTTTGTTTAAGTTAAATCTGACAAACTTGAATCTGTTGAACAGGGGGTCGTAACATAAAGGGTACTTAAGTCTAAGACCATGCTTAAGTAGGACTTAAGTACAGTCTTAAACTTAAGACCGTAACTAAAAACGTGCTAAGATTTGACAATCTTAGCAAAACTTAGGCGGCCGGTAGAGGTGACTTAAGTATGTCTTAACTTTCTTAAACATATATTTAGAACTATTTAACGTTGACTTTCTATGTAAAAACATTCCTCTATTTATATCATGCATTAAAAAATAATTTTCTATATTTAATATACTGGTATAAGAATTTTAGTTTTTTCGTCGGGGGGGGGGGGGGGGGGGGGGGGGTTATTCATCACTGATTACAATATCACTCTCTAAATGACATATACATGTAAATGCAAAATATTATTTTTGGGATACGTTTGAAATATTAGTGGGACCTAGGTTATAAACACTAATCTTTATAAGTATATCACATGTAATTTAAATTATAAAAGTAATTTGTATACAGCAATCATGGATTGGTTTGTTCACTGTGAAAAAAATGAGATGAAATGATTTTAAAAATTGTCGGTGAATTAAAGGATGATGACTAGAAAACAAATAAGATTTTCTGTAAATTAGATTGAATGTAGAACGCAACAAGCGAGGATTCAGACAGGATTCACTACCGTTCACTAACATTCCAGAGAGAGAGAGAGAGAGATTGTTGATAAGTTGGAGATATACGAAAAATTATTTTCTGAAAACAATTCTTTAATTTCCATCCTTCATTAAATTGTAAATAAGTATATCATAAAACGTCTGCAGTTTCTGCTTACTGATATGGGAGGAAAAAAATTCAAAATGTCCCTATTGTTTTGCACTTTTTTTTTATTAGAGTTTCAATTTCAAGTACATAGACGTTCGGTTATCGTGCCATGTCTGCGAGAATGACAATTTGAAAGCAAGTGAACATTTGTCAAACGAAAGAATAACAACAAACGGTAAACTGAGAACATCGCAGTCTCGAGTGATAAACAATATTCACGCATTTACAATGAACCACTAGTGCCACTTTGTGACCGTGCAATATTTGTTTTCAAATACATTGTATTTCAAATAATTTAAATAGAATTAACTTTAATTAAATACGAAATTAATCTAAACTAACTAAATCCGATAGGTAAGGACGTCAGCATTAATATATTTGTGATTAAAAACGTAACTAAATCATTTTTACAAATATATATATATAAAAATGAATTGAAAAACTAGAATGATTCATAAAAAATATTTTGAACATAAGTTTGACTTAGCTAAGACCTACCTAAGTCCGTTTTATGTTACGGTTTAAGACATACTTAAGTAGTACTTAGGCAGGTCTTAAGATTGCACCTAAAACATACTTATGACCCTACTTAAGTCAAAAACCTAGCAAGCTTTATGTTACGACCCCCAGCGACCCTTTTCACAAAAAATCTTACGACTAAGACAAAAATTTTTCCAGTCTATAACAAGTATCTCAGTTGTAGTAGGTCACCAAAAATCTAATATTTCTATTGCATTAGACTATAGATTAAATCATATTTTAGAAAAAAATAATATCTTTCTTACTAAAAAAATTACAGAGGTATCAAATTTTTATCTAAATCGTAAGAATTTTTGTGAAAAGGGCCACAGGTCTTTAAGATCATTAGTACCTTCTGCCGGTTTCTGGACTATAAACTTGCTTCCTTTCCTTTTTTTCCCCTTCTTTTCCCCCTCACATTTGGCCCCTTCCTCTTCTTGTTGACCCGTTGACTGCTGCTGTTGCTGCGCATAATACTGAGCATAATAATTCTGGTAATATTCTGTATATTTTTTGTAATATTCTTCACTGTTTATGTCAACTCCCTCAGCATTACTTTCACTTTCATTTTGCTGTTGCTGTTTATGATAATTTTCCCAGTACTCTTTATACTTGTCCTGATCGTTTGTTATATTTGTACCACCCTCTTCTTCGTTGGCTCCATAACTCATCTGATACTTTGCTATGAAGTCCTCATCAATCTATATCATAAGTCAGATACTGCTATTAGAATGATGTGCTTGATTTATATTCTAATACAAAGTTTGGAACTTTTTTTGCTCACCAGTTTACAGGACTGATATACAGTGAAACCTGTCTAGTCTGACATGCATTGGGAGACAAATTATGTGTTGGCATAGATGGGGATTTCGGATTTCACAGTGTAAAGAACACAAAACCCCCGTAGTAAAATGGGAATTTAAATTGAGGTTCGAACTCACAGTGAAACGGAATGCACAGGTGTCAGATTTCACTGTAAGTTCAATCACTCCACTGAAAAATTTACCAGTCTGAAGTTTTTCCAGAAATCATGAATCACATTTAGTGTTATAAGTCTCCTACCAGTGAAAGCAGAGGGGACTAGAGATCTCCACCATGTCTGTCTAGCTGTCTGTCTGTCAGTCTGCCCCACTTGGTTTTCCACTTTTTTTTCTCAAGGCTTGCAGATATTGATCTGATTTTTTGGTATGTGAGTGTATCTTGATGAGTTATAGATCAAAGTTGATTTTTGTTGTACTTCAATGATTTTTGACGGAATTATGGCCTTTATAATTTTTAAGTTTTCTGCAATTTTTTTCTAAACACTTGCAGATATTGAGCTATGATCAAGTTTGCATTTTGTTCAGCCTCAATAATTTTGACAGAATTATGGCATTTTCAGTTTTTAATCGGAACCAGATTGTACTTGCCGGTAGGGGACTAGTATTACTAACGTAATACTCTCAGAATGCTTATTCAACTAATATTAAACATTTATTGAATGGGTTCGAGGGCAACATGCATTTTGTCGGACCCAAGAACCAAACCTAACTGAGGCCGTTAGGCCAAAGGCAAACAGTTTGGTTCGAGGGGTCGACAAAATGCATTTTGCCTAAGAACACAGTCAATAAATGTTTTGTTATACCTTTTACTTTTTTATTTTGACATAACATGATGTAAATTTTGTTTACCCGCACTGCGGTTTAAACTTGGTCAATTCCGTACAGTTCTGTTGAACTTCAATGAATGCAAATAAGATAAAGCTGACCCAGCCTGCACTGTGACGTAAGTGGTCCAACATCTCATTGACAGGTCCAATATCTCGCTCTGCGGTCAAGCATCAATTTTTTTATGACCGCTCAGTAAAACATTGGAAATGTTAGACTTTTTTTAGTGTAGAATTATACAGGAAACAATTTTTAAAGGTATAACAATACAAAGTGTTGAACACAGAAAATCTTATCTTTTTACTGCTATAATTGTAATTTTCTTTTGTTCATCGGGATAGTAATTCAATAAACCTTGAATAATAATTAAACACAAACAGTAAAACTGGGTTATATGGAAGTCACTGGGACTTATTACTGAGGTACCTTATATCTATATGAGAACCTCAAGTTGGATTCATAACAAGGGAGAAGCTGTCAAAGTGACAGTAAACCAGGTTTTCTTTAGCGTGAACAGTATTGGTATTTTCTCACATAAATTATAAAAAAAAACTTTCTATTCTGAAAACTGCAGGAGTTGACATGCCAACAATATCATTGTACCTTTGAAAATATTTTGCATTAAAATGACTAAGTTCAACAACTTGAACAACCATTCCCAATTGGTTAAATTTGGTCTTAAATTGATGCTCAATATTGTTTTGAGTTATTTTGAATCTGCACTTTATCTGTGATTCTACTAAATAGGTTTGATATAAAATTGCAAACCTTTGGGAACCAAGCCCTCTTCTCTTCATCCCAATCATACACAGTACCGTCTTCATCTGTTTTTGTTAGTGCACCCTCTTTCTTTTTCCTCTCCAATTCTTCAAGCTCCAGTTGTTCTGTAAATGAAATTTCTTCCTCCATCTGCAATATTTGCATGCAAATGTAAATTAAAGTCAAAGTGTTTCATTTAGCCTGGACAAAGTCTTAGACTTAATTAAAATAAAACAAGAGGCCCATGGGTCACAATGCTTACCTGTGTAGGTATGGTCCTTCTGTTAGTCATCAAAAGATTCTTTTCTCTATACATACACATGGTTAAACTTAGATCACATATTGTGCTTGATACTTCCATATGTTTATGAATTCACTGATTATGGCTTTGCTGTTCTTGAGAAGAAGATTTTTAAAGATTTTTCCTTTATATTCCCATGTAAAAGTTTGATCCCCCATTGGGGCCCTACCCTATCCCCACTGTCAGGATTTGAACAAACTAGAATATACACTACCTAAGGGTGCTTCTATATAAATATGACTGATCATGGCTTTGCTGTTCTTGAGAAGATTTTTAAAAATTTTTCCTTTATATTCCAATGTAAAAGTTTGATAGCCCATAGTGGCCCCACCATCCTCACCCTATCCCTGGAAGTCACGATATGAACAAACTGGAACCTACACTATGACAAAAAGTTTTCACTTAAGTTTCATCTTTTCTGACCAAGTGGTTCTTAAGAAAAAAATTTTTTAAATGACCCCACCCAATTTTCACTATTTCTTAATTATCTACCCTTGGAAGTGGGTGTGGCCCTTCATTTGAACAAATCAGAATCACCTTTACCCAAGAATACTCTGAGCCAAGTTTCGTTGAAATTGGTCCAGTGGTTCTGGAGAAAAAGATGAAATTGTATAAAGTATATGGTAATGGTGATGACAACAATAGACAACAGACAAATTTTGATCAGATAAAGTTCACTTGAGCCGAAGGCTCAACTGACCTTAAAAAAAAAAAAAAAAAAAAAAAAAAAAAAAAAAAACAGAAAAAAATTAAACATACATTTTTCTCACTTCATCAGCATGATCAGAATATAGTCTATAGGTTATAAAATAATATTTAAATTCCACATAGATTTTGGCTTTAAAGCTTGTGGAAAGCTATGGCATTCAAAACACCATAATAAGGACAGGGAGGACAAAAGGTTAAAGTATGATTTTGATATTGACATCACAAACACTGATCGCCTTCAGGCTTGTAGATGCAACCTCATCATGATCATAAGCAAAAAACAAAGTTCACACTCACATTGAACAGTTTAACAGTAGCCGTTGCAATGGCTCTTCCATTAATTGTAACTTACCTGAAGGGTAATACAGGAATTTTGAAATATAAACATGATTAATCACATTTGCAAACAAATGTAAACATAAGTTTTAAATTACTATTTTTTTGAAAGATGCAGTCTCATAACTGCTAGTGTGCAAACAAATTTTCATAATGTGTTAAATTAATGCTTGTTACTCAATTTGTTTGCACACAATGTTGCACTTCTGAGACTATATATCTTTGAAAAAAAAATTAATTCATTAATATTATTAATTTCATATGATTAAAAAATAACATTGACTGTATCCTGTTTTCAACCATATTGTATTTTCAACCTATTTTTCACAATCTGTTTAAATGCAGATACTGAGATACAACATAATTTTTGGCTGCTTAACTTGGAAAAGTACACAACAAGTAAAAATGTTGTAAAGACAGCTGGAATAAATTAATTCAGTGGATTTTCTCTGTGATTTTTGTCTGATGTCAGAAATTCTAATCTTTTAACTAATTTTCATTTCACCTGCTAATTGGTACATGTAAAAGCCATAATCACTTAAGTACAGATATTTATTGATAATGTATTTTGCATCTCTGAAACAAAGAAAAAAAGAAAAGAAAGGGTACATCAAAGAATTTTTTTTCTTCCATAGATAAGGGTTTTTTCTACCAAAATTTTATCGGAAAATGTAACTTAATTTCATTGAAGATTTATAGAGTGCACAGCCACTGACATCCTCGCAATGCTTAGGGTCCTGAGTCAAAACATTGTTGTGAGCCCCTGCCTGGCCTATTTCATTCTATATTTTAGGGCTTGCTTCTCTCATTGAGAAGCAATCAAATTGAATTAAAGCTTTCATAAATAGTAAGATAATGTAAACAGAAAGCAGGGTTCTCACTAGGATTTTGCTAACTTGAGTCCCAGGACTCAAGATTTCTGAGATGGTTGCGTCCCAGCTAAATTTGATGTGTCCCCCCCAAAAAAAGATATGTTGAGTCCCAACTGAATTATTGCAGTATCCTTCCATCCAAACATAAAAAAAAAATCTTTATTATTTTAACAGTTTGTTTACGCAATATTAACATATTCAAATATGTAAACTGGTAATGTATCCAAGCCATATTCTAAAATACATGCATAATTGCCATAAAAATAAACTTGTTTATAAAGCTAAAATTAACTGTTGCATAATCAATTACATATATATGTAGTACCCTATAGTTGGCTGTATAGAATCACAGGTGTCATGTGCAATGAGGCGTAACTAATCCTGTCGGTCGTCTGCATTTGGGTGAAATTCACGAGATAATCAAGCTTCATTGTGTATACTGTGTATACAAGCAGTAATTAAGGTTTCTAGATAAAACTCAAGATTCAAAAAGTGTTTTTAAAAAGAAGCTGCAGTGTGTAACTTACAGATATCGGAGTTTGGCATGCGACACTATTATGAATAAACATGAAATATCTTATAATCAATCCCTGTTTTAAAAAAAATAGAAATAGGTACAAGAAAAGTTGTTTCTTGGATATACTTTTTGATAGCTACTGGAAGGTTTCTAATAATATTTCTTTGACAAATCCTAACATCTAAAATCTCCAGTTTCCAAAAGCACCCAAATTTTCTTGCCGATGAGGACGTGTCCACTCATGAGTCCGCGGACGCATCGTTTTTAAGAACCTTGCGTCCCAAATAATTTTGCTGCATCTAGTACGCAGATTCTTGCGTTAATGAGAACCCTGAGAAAGGATTCAGTTGACGCCTCAAATGCGCGTGTTTCAAGTTGTTTATCATAGAATGGCTTAATGTGATTGGTTGAAAGATAAGAAAAACAATCAAGATTTGTAATTTTTCCAAAAGACATCTCTACATGCAGTCAGCCCATGAACTACTGAATGAAATTTGGCAGGGGTCCCACGACAACATGTTGACTCAGGACCCCTGGCATTGCGAGGATGAGCCACTGAAGGTAATAAAACTGTCTGTAACCAAAATATGCAACATTTTTAATATTTTCATTGAAGACAAATAATTGAATTTACATTGTGTGGAATATCCTACAAATATTCAAGGTCAATAGTGACTGAAAGTCAATACTGTACTTCAGGGGCTTTGATAACACCAGGCACTTTTATTTTTGCAAAGAAAACTGCACCCTCCTAAAATGACGGCATATAATAAAGTGAACATAAAACTGTAATTTGGATTATATGATTTTATTACCAGCCACATATAAAATCTTTGAGTCCTCATTTTAAAAGTTTGCAAGAAATCAGAGATAATCTAAACGGGTCAGAAATACAATATGCCAGGGTAATTAACTTACAGTATTGTGCCATATATTTATGAACAAACGTAAAAATACCGTCATGATTTTGAAAGAATCATAAAAAAATGCTAGGTTTCTCGCAATTACACAATCTTACCATGCAAGTGTCTTACCTCATAAATAGCTAAGAATTTCCACTATCGATCTATGACGTCATTTGTTAAATATGACGTCAGCTTAAAACGAAAAGGTCTTGTGAATGTAAACATGGGGAAAGGCAAAGAATTTTCTACACCCGTGAAACAAATGATTGTTGACAAATATCTGTCAGGACAAAAATATGCAACTATTGGCCGTGAATTGAACATTCCTCGGAACAGTGTGTATTCAGTTGTACAGCGCTATTTAGCTAGAGGTTCGGTGGAAAAGGCCCCAAGAAGTGGCAGAAAACGAAAAATGGACGACCGTGAAACTAGGAAACTTTTAAGAGTCGTAAAAACCAAACGTACTGTTCCGTTAGCTGGTATTACGGATATTATCAATCAGGGTAGGCATTCTCCTGTTTCACAGAGAACAGTCAAAAGACGATTGTATGAAATAATTTTCATAGGAGGATTGTAAGAAAGAAGATCCGTATTCACGACGAGAACCGCAAAAAACGTGTGGCATGGGCAAGAGGAAAGAGATTGTGGAGAGTTGAAGGAGAATGGGATAGAGTGATATTTACAGATGAATGTAAGGTAGTAATAGGAGAAAGCAACCGTGTGTATGTCTGGAGACGACCGGGTGAAGATTGGATGCCCGAGTGTTTATGCCCTGGTCCGCCGGTCAGAGTAAGTTTGATGATCTGGGCATGCATAACATGGAATGGTGTGGGGACAATATGTGTCGTAGATGGTAATATCAATGCACAAAAATATATAGACATACTTGATTCAGAACTTTGGCCCGTTGTAGCTCGGCATTTTCCAACAAACAATTTTATTTTTCAAGATGACAATGCGCCCGTTCATCGGGCCCAGATTGTTACTGAATTTAAACAGAGAAATGCCATCAACTCGATCACATGGCCAGCACAATCCCCTGATTGTAATATTATAGAAAACTGTTGGTTATTATTAAAAAATAAATTGAAGCAACGAATTTTAAATATAAACAATGCTGCCGACCTCGAACGTGAAATCCGCCATATTTGGACAGCCATCCCAACACCATACATACAAAACTTGTATCGTTCAATTCCTAGACGCTTGCTTAAAGTAGTCAGTGCCAAGGGCAATATTACAAAATATTAAGGTAAGCTTTATTATTTAATTATCAAAATTTAGTGTATTATATATGGCTATAACATTCCCTGTAACTCATCTGTTTACGTCCGTTTACGTGACGTCGCCGACGTTTGTTCATAAATATATGGCACAATACTGTACTTCTGAATATTTATACACACAAAAAAAATCTTATAATCTTACCATTTCATGGATACGCTGGGTTTTTACAACAGAACTAGGACATTTGATTTAATGTTAATTGTTTTCGGCCACAGTCGTTTTCCTTTCGGTTTTCCTTCTAAATTAGCTCGTACACGAGATCGTTCGTACACGAGATAGTACAAACTTTTCAGTATCAAACCTAAATCTAAAGAGTTGAAAGAATCGTATATAATACACAAATTATGAGATTACGCGGTTATACTAATCTTTTTTTTCATTTTATAAATTAAAGATACTGTTACGAATATACCAAAGTATGAATAGATTTGTTAGTGGATTTTTCATGGGATAGTATAATGTCCTGATTAGTATTATGTCCTGATTGACCTGTAGTTATATTGTTTAGTTTCTTGTTTTCAGTGTTGAAAAATTAAACACAAAAGATTTTTAGAAAATAATTTTTATTTAAGTGTAGTAGGAAAGGAGAAATGCATGAAGAAAATATTTGGCTGGACCGGGAATCGAACCCGGGACCCCTGTATTACTTGTCAGGTGCTCTGGCCACTGAGCTATCCAGGCCGATATCCATAAAGCCCGAACTCCTACATTCCTCCCTCCTTGTTTTGTGTGTGTGTGTGTGTGTGTGTGTGTGTGTGTGTGTGTGTGTGTGTGTGTTCGTTTTGTCTTCGTTATTTTTTTCCTTGTTATATGCATTCCTTTCTAAATATAATTAACAAGAGACGCTTTAAGAAAATAATGAAGACAAAAAATGTGTAAGTATCATTTACAGCTGTTTACCTGTATTTACATTATATTCTCATTGAGATTTAGTGTCCCAGGCCCCCTTTTCATTGGAAACAAGGCTTTTAGAAAGCTGTTCTGGTACGTTGGGAAATTTTTATGAAGTTGTTCAAGAAGTTTATCTAAATACTTTTCTATGGAAATACATATATTTCATCAAACGAGACCACGGTGTACATGTACCAATGATCAACTGTCACCGCCGAACCAGGTCTCATGTTTTTTGTTTTTTTTTTTTTTTTAAATGTTCAATAAGTATAGAAAATGCCACCGCTAGTCTTCCACATATTTCTAAAAATGTTTTGAGCTTGTGTTAAGCATACATAGTAAATATTTATACACATTCGTTTTAGCAGAAGTATGAATTCTGGGTCAAAATCGTTGTCCATTTTGGTCCAATTGGGTAAATCGGCTTGCCATTTGTCATAAATGACTAGCCAATCGCTGAAGAGCAATGCTCCTGAGGATAAAACCTGGCCTCGATCATCGATGAAAATGTAGGCGAAGGATACAATTAAATCGATTGGTAAAACACACTCAGCTTGCATGTGCGTAAACTGATATTTTTTTTTTGATTCGCCATCATTGTCAGTATTTTTATAGTACCATAAATATGCTAAAGCTGCACATGAATTTTATGGTTACTTACTCACTGTGCTTAAATGTCTGTACTAGTGTTTGAAGTTTTATGAATGGTTGTAGCTTATTGAGCTGGGATTTTAAACCAACAGTTATATTTTTAGTTTATGTATTTCATGTATATTGCGTTTGCATAGTTCAAGATTTAAGTACTTGATTTTAATTCTTGATTATGAGATCTGTAACATGATAGCCTGGGCCCTATCCTCCAAACTGAGATGAGAGCTTCAGAAACATTTTAAAATGAAATGTTCAAAAAATTCTGACTCGTTTCCAAAGAAAATATCATTAAACATTTAAGTTTTATCATTTTCACCGGTCCTACTAAACAGAGAACCCTAGAGAACTCTAGAGAACCCTAGATAACTCAAGGTTTATTTGGTCAATTCAAATAAATTTTATGCATAATTGAGTTTATTTTTACTTTATAAGTCATATTCTATCTATAAAATCAATAACATGAATTTTTTATGGAAGTTTTCCCTCGAAAAAAGTTGAAAACGTAACAACATAGAGTAGTGTAATATTTTATGTCATCCCGATCCCGACCGAATTTCAAATACGTTGTTAATTGAAATAATAATTTTACCACATAATTTTACAATTCTTTTTCACATTATTTTTCATTTAATTTTATTTTTTAAGTTATATAGAACTCTTAGTTATTAACTCTGGCGTAAAATTATTTGAAAAAATAATTAAAATAACACAAAGTATGATGAAGTCTTCGTACATTAGTATTCCATTGAAAATAAGCATAACATTTGGCATAATATTCTTTTTTTAAATTTTATTTTGTTTTTGTATGATATATTGGTTATTTAAAACATAAATATTTCATTTACAAACTAAATAATTAAAAATCATTAGGGTTCTCTAGAGTTCTCTAGGGTTCTCTGTAGGGCTGTGTCAATATATCGAATATTCAATAAGTATCGATATTCTGGAATGTATCGTATCGAAAAAATAACTTCCAATACGTATCGGACAGGCAGTTTTCCTTATAATTCTGTAAAAAAGTTGGGAATTTCAGTTACCAAAGATTATTTTGAACTGTTTCCAATTAAAACTGGTCAATAATGAAATAAACATTAAGGAGAGAGCACATCTTAAATAACTATTACAAAATACATAGACAACTATATTTTAACATGTTATGTTAGACTCACCCAGTTTTTATCAAATTTATGCATTAAATGTCATTAATAAGACATTTTTGAAAGACTTAATAAATAATCCAATATATCGCATATCGCTTTATAAAATATTGTATCGTATCGTATCGAAATATTTTGCTCAATACACAGCCCTAGTTCTCTGTTTAGTAGTACCCCATTTTCACTGTGTCCGCCAGACATGCAAAGCACTAGCCTGATGCCAGGGTTTGACATTAAGGCACGTCCGACCGACCCAGTCTAGTAAATAAGTGGTCTGGTCGTGTCAAATGTTCATGAACTAGACCGACTGGTTGCGTGGATGAAATAAACGTTAACCCTCATTTCAGTCTTTCAAACAAATGTTCTAAAAACTTTTTAAAGAAATTTTCTTAATTTTCCGATTGCAAATCGCTCAAAAAGGAAAACTTCCCTGCATGACACAATTGCTATATTTAGCCCGGCTGTAAATAGACAAGTCTCGATCTCGAAACTAGCTTTGTTCAGAATCAATTAGTATGAATAATCATCGAATGAAATAGTCTTTAATTTATTTACATGTATATTTACAATAATTTTATTTAAGTTCCTTGAATGTTTTTTAAAGCTTATAATATTCACATGTTCTGCTTAACCTGACTCAGTGGGCTGCGACCTATATGGAACAGTCTGTCAAAATGTAAACACGTGCGAGAGATAGTCATCGTCGCAAACCACAGCCAAAATGTACGATCCTCTCCCATTCTGGCCGTGGTTGAATGAGAATATTTCATAGTTCATTAAATTATTGACCAATGAAAGTAAAGCAAAGTTGGATAATGAACTTTGACGCGACCTTTCAATACCCATGCAATCACAGTATACGAAACATTTCTTGTATCCTGTTTGTGTCAATTGTTGATTTCAGTTGTGATGGAAACAAATATTGTCATTGGCTGAAAATGACGTCACAATATAGAGGCATAAATATTCAAGATTACAACACTTTTTGTGATCAGGCAGCCACAGGTATATGCTATAGAGCTATATCGGCATGCGGACCGTGGCCTGAGACGATGAGAGATAGTATGGTTTCGAAACTTTTTTTCAATATAATAGCAGGTTATAAAAAGAAAATTTTCAAGTTTGGTCAGGGCTTGTGATTTTATGGTCAGGGCTAGTAAAAATTATGGGAAGTAGCTTGACTGGTCTAGTACTCATAAAAGTTAATGTCAAACCCTGGATGCCTGAACACTCGTAAAAAGAATGTTTCCACTTAAGCATATTGCCTTGGCCCCTTTTTTGGACCCCTCCAACATCATCTAATTAACTCAAATCTTAATTATTTTACACCTAACCGATATTTTGTTATCTGTGTGGTACATTACTTGCAAAAAATCACATTGAAAACGGCGCTTTAGTTTTATTAAATGTAATTAAAAATGCCCACTAGTGGTGTTAATTCCGGAATGTTGCGCTTGTCAGAGCTGGGTGTTAATTGTGTCTCATTCATATTCGGAGTAGGCGGGGCATTTCATCGATCGATTGAAAACATGTTATCGCCAGTTATATAATGGCTTCTGGGAACTACTCAGCACGATTTGATTAAAAAAAATATGCACAAAAGTAAACACAAAGAACATGTTTAAACTTCTCAAAGATTTCGCCGTTTTCTTTTTTGTTTGTTTGTTTGTTTTTTTTTTTGGAAAGACGGGTGCGGGGGAGGATCTTGAAGATGTACATGTACTCCCTCCCTAAATCCAGATTTCCCCCCATTTTTGGTAGGTTCTGGTTGATCCTTGATGTCATAGTAAATGAAAAAAATTTAGAAGCTTACTTAAGAAACAACAGGTGAATGACAAGTTACTTTTGTTTCGAAATTATTTCTATTTTAAATAGGGTAATTAAGTTGCGATCGCAATTTACGTGGCGTATACGTGGAAAATCAACACTAAATAAACCAGGCCTACTTGTACATGTAAACACGTATTGAATTTTTAAAAATAATATAAATCTCTCTCACTCTCCGTACTTAAGTACAATAAATACTGGTGTATGGAATAACAAAACAAAACATTTTTTTGTGATGCTGTTGTGATATTTAATCACATAAACAATTTTATTAATTGTATATGTGCTTGTTTGTTTTGTTTTGTTATTTTTTCGTCCCAGTAAGCTTTTCAGTGTTAAACAATCCATACGTACTTCTACCCTGTATACCTATATTTTTACAGTCAAAAACATTTTGAGGAATGATGCTATTGCTAAGATGTAGACTATGGCTTGGAAACTCATTTAGCCCCCAAGCGAACCCCTAAATCCAAGGACTAAAACTAAAATATCATTACACTTTTTGCCCGATTAAAATTCCATTACCCTCATCGTCAAATATTTCTTATGAATGGTAGCATCATTATTTTTTCTGTCTTCAAATATGGATCTAATACCTAAACAATATTAATATCCGTCTGATGCCACTATTATCATCGGTTTCATGCCCGTAGAAACCTGGGGGGAGGCACGGAGCCCCCCCCCCCAACTTTGCCGATATAAAGAACACTATAGAAAACATAGCCACCATACACTTGTGCCCCTTCAATAATTACCTCTGATCCGCCCATTTTTTTTTTGCTTGTCAAGGAATTTTTGGTAGTTGGTAGTGCTCCCAACTGAAAATGTATGGCTGTGCCCCAAAAACTAAAATTGCTTCCTACAGGCCTGGGTTTTACCAAAAGAGGAATTTTATACATACCTAAAGAATTCCTTTGAAAAGTATATAATTGAACTCTTTTGAAATCAATATAGATGTATGTTTTAATTTAAAGAATATTTTTTTAAGAAAAGTAAATGGAATTGAGTAGAAGGGTCAGCCTATTTTAGCCCTCTCCCTACATCAAGGTCAACGTAAATACATAATTGATATAAAATAAACAAAGCAAAAATGTACCAAAAAGAAGGGGTGGGGAGGAAAATTAAAAAAAGAAAATACTAGTAAGTAAAATTACAGAGAAAAATAAGCAAAATTACAGAAAAAATACCAGTTTGGGAATATTCAAAAATGTTAAATTTACTTACAAAATAATGAATATTTTAGCAATATTTGGCACTACTAAAAATACTGGGCAGGAAAAATAATTGGATGTTGATCAATTGAAAATGAAACGGTCTGAATTGCGTATCGGAGCTAAAGCCACAAGATTTATTGATTTTTTTTTTGTATTCACAAAGTTACCCGAGTCTACAAATCACATGATAAATTGGAATATTTAACAGGTCATAATGAGGTCAATGACATGTAAATATAACCATGAATAGTGAAGGAAACTGTCGGTTTTTTGTACCTTTTTTCAAAAAGTTTACCCCGAGCGCAGGCTTGCCCAAAATTCTCCTTTAAATATGATGAATTTTCAACAGTTATACACCTTTTGAGAAATTTGGGCAACAATGCGCTCACCGTGTATTACCGCTTTAAAAATCGGAATAAATTTGAATATCAATGGAGATTCATGAATTGCAGTGACCCCTCTTACAAAACACAGCTTCGTTCTTTGTTTTTATGGACTTTTAATTCCTGTAACTTTGCAAAGTTACGATTTAGACATAGAAGAATTGCATTATTTATCTCATGGGGCTATTTTCTATACTTTATTTTTGCGCAATTTACCGGGGGCCACGTTTTGTACACTAAGTGCAATCATTCTTTGGTCGTCCTAGTGGAATGTGCAGGTTGGAACTTGCCCTAATCAGACTAGTAGAATTTTCAGCCATATTAATTCATTTCCATCTCAATATTTTAAATATGAAAAAAAAAAAAAAATAGAAAAAAAAAATTGTCTGAAAAGATTTTCTTGATTGAAAATTTCAACTTTCTCAATGAGAAATCCATGTCCATGCTGGGTTTGGTAATTTATAATTTGTCATTTCCTAAATGACTAATGGATGTGACTGTTACTGACATCAAGAAATGCTCCAAATTGAAACACACCTCAGAGTCTCTAACGAATGGAAAGATTGATGGGCGGTGGGCCATGACTCAGTTATTTAGGAAAATGTGATGAAATGTTCATTATATTGTGTGTCGGACTGCATCATTTTGTAAAACAAAAGAGTTTGATTTAATACAGGATCAAATAACTGACAATAAAATGACAAAACAGAGGATTAATAAAAATTTGATTTTTGAAATTAAATAATGAGCCTTGTTGATTAAATCTAAACATGATAGGGATGAAAGAAAAAAGTCATTTTATTTTTCACACTTTTAAGGAACCTACAGAGTAAACAGTGATTCAGGCTAGTAAAATTTTGCCATTGCTAGCCCAACTGGGCTAATGATAAAAAAAGTTTTTGGCGCACAGAGTTTTCAAACCTGTTCTAGTCAGGTTAAATACATGCAACTAGAAACAATTTCCATATGACACAATTTTTCAAAGTCAACAAAAATTTACATTGTAAATTTCAACAATTCCTGACAAGCACAAGAGGGAGTTGACATTATTTCAAGAAATTATCCAAGTTTGACGTATATTTTGATTTGGTAAGCTGTAATGAAGGTATACTACATGATTACATTATTTGATAAGTAACCGAGAATTGCGATTATTATAATAATGGATCTCTTTCTGAACATGCTAAAGTGGCAGCTATTATTAATTTTCGTATGATAATCACTGCAGACTTTGAATTCACTGCCCTATCTATATACTGATTGAACTTGAGGGTTCCCATCAAAGCAGAAAATTTTGAAAGTAGGAGAGATCGAACCTAGTTTGAAAGCTGAAGTATTTGTATATTTTTCGATGTAATGCAGATTTGAAAGTGATGCTTTTCATACCATGAATCAGACTGTTAACTCGATGATGACTTGAAGTGCAATTAAAATAAAACACATTTTCGAAAATAATACAAATCAAGTTCACATTTAATTAATATGATTCCAATGAGAAAAAGGGATGCTTTGAGCTAAGAATTTGTTCAGATTTACAACAAGTCAATCCATAGATTAAATATTGTTGAGGTTGAAGTATAAATCCCCCAGTTTTTGTAATGATTAAGGACTTAATATGGTGACTTGAATAGTGCAGAATTAAATTAAATTATTTTCAATTACACATCTTTACTTGGATTGTACCATGAAGTCAAGAAAACCCTTTTTATCAACCACTTAATTAAATAAGAAAATTTTGAGAGATTTGACATATGCAAACAGGTTTGGGATGAGGGATATTGTTAAAATGTTGTATTTATACATAACAGTCAGCAAAATAATAACTACTTCTCATGCTCTCTCATCTCTGACCACTAACTATGTACAGTGGCTGCAACGTTATTGTTGACAAACCAATCGTGAAGAATCGTTCGTGTAACGTGCGAGATCGTGCGTGTATCAGATTCAATCGTTTGCGGTTTAAATCGTGCGTGATCGTGCGATAAGAAACGTGTAAATTTCGTTTTGTAAGTTTTTATTGGAATGTTATTTGTTATACAAGCATTTCGCTTGACTGTTGTTTTTTTTTTCAATCCAAATAAAATAAATGAAGCTCGATTTACATAATTGAAAGCAGAACGAACTAATTATCGCTTGGAAATAAGCAATATAGTAAGTCGTACAATATTGTGTTCTCGTCAAATAGCGTGATTTTTTGTGATAAACCGTACTTAGATGTTTAAGGATTTTTTTCTGATGTTAATTATGTTTACTGCTAATTATGGTCAAGATATTTTTAAAATCATAAAATAGATATTTTTACAAATAAATAAAAAAACAATTCTCAATGCTTACATAAATATCAGTTTAGTAGGCGAATGTACATGTACACAACATGATTGTTGGGGTTTCGTTTATCAGTGTTTATCTCTGGAGCTTACTTTTAATTATTTTTATAATTTCTGCAAATAAATGATTTGTAAAATAATTGTTGATTTTAGAGATTCACAAATGGAAACGTGGATATAACTTAAAATTTAATTCATTTTCATGCCATTTTTTTTTCAAACTTATTCCTTTCTGCATAGTATGAAATCCAATTCAATCAAAATTCACGGTCCACCTACATCTACATCTTCTGATAGAAGGGGGAAAAATCTGTTTTCTTAAGTCGGAGAATTACGTAAATAATTATTTGTAATCTAAAATAATTAATAAGTCTTACATGTATTTAGTTCCAGAAATATCCATTTCTATTTTTTTTTTTCATTTTTTAATATCAATAATTATTTGAAATCTAAAATGTATTAAGCCTTCTTTCGTTTTGAAAATATCCATTCCTAAAGAATTTGAACTATTTTGCGTGAAGAATCGTGCGTTTGCGTTAACAATCGTGTAAGATCGTGTAACGTGTAGAATCGTGTGCGTGAAGGATCGTTTGTGTAACAGATTTTATCGTGCGTTCATTGTGCGGAATCATTCATGTAAGTTGTCAACAATAACGTCGCAGCCACTGTAATGGATAAATAATGAGATAGTGTTGAATAGTCTAGAGAAACATTCGGCCTGAGGAGGGGATGTTTTCTCTAAACTATTCAACACTATCGAGTTATTTATCTTGCTTATAAAACTCCTCCACTTTGGACCCCAAAGAAACATTTACCCATTCATTTATCCAACTTTGTTGTAACACAATAGGATCACTCCAATTTAGCCCATTTAGATAACCAACAGTGACACAATACAATAACCTAATCGAACACCCCTTATATTCATGGACTAGTGAGTATGAAACTGCATGGTGATAACGTCATTTCAAACCTTTCCATCATACTGAACAGTCAAGAAATCAGATGAAGAATACTTTTAAATTCAAAGTAAATTTAGAGAGGTTCAGGTAGTGTTTTGAATACTTTTGACCTGAAAGCAGAAGAAAACTACAGAATTTTGATAAAGGTTGGAAATTTATCATTAAATATAAGATGATGATTTGTTGAGGAAAAGTGTTGGAATCTTATTTCAGATTACTTCATTGATTGAGAGATATTGCATATACATGTATCTGGATATGAGGATAATTTATACTTGTAGAAGACCTCCTTCAGCTCCGTTGTTGATCATTCAGGCGTAGTATGGCCAAGACAAGGATTCTGCTACTTATTGTACACATAAGTCTCCTACTGTCCTCAGAAGGAAAGGTCACATTCAAAATGGCAGGTATTGTAAGTACAGATGAAAATGGTCTCACATTTGAAGAAGCTGTAAGAAAAGCCAACCAAGATTTGCCGGCTGATTTAGAATTCCAGGCTCTTTACATCAAAATGGATGCTAATCCAATTCGATCTGCTTTGAACTTGTGCAGTGCTGTGATATCTAAGGGAGTTCATACAGTTATAGTAAGCAAGCCAGAGAATTCGGACAACAATCCTCCTATCTCTGTGTCCTATACCTGTGGCTTCTACTCTATCCCAGTCATTGGTATATCAGCAAGAGACAGTTCATTCTCAGACATGGTAAGAACTATGAAAATTTTCTCTGTGTATCTCACAACATTAATAATTGTAGGAGTAAATTCGATTTTCATATGCAAGCAGCTTCAGATAGTACAGATTCAAGTTTGGGGGAGAAATTAGGGGAGCAGAGTTTACATTTGAATTGATAGGT